TTGGGGATATCTGGCTGAGATCAAATGTGGCTGAAAATTTGAACTTCAAAAATTTCTGCAATACAGATGGTCATAAGACATTTGCAAATATTGTAATAAAAAAAAAAAACTCAGATCCATAACTGGGGGGTTTAAATGGATGTATCTTGAAAACGAAACATGTTTTAGGATAGGTGTTTTGTGAAATATACAAATTTAATGAACTTTCACATGAGCACCACATTTTGCTGATGAGCTGATTTAACCAGAACCATCTGATCCACTCATGAGGCTCAAACACTACGGTGGGAAAGTCTGAGGAGCTCAGGAAAGATCTGGAAAAGCAAATCATTGACTAGAAACAGTCATTCAAGTCACGTGGAGCCATTTCAGAGCAGCTTCAGATCCCAGAATCATCAGTTTGTCAGGGTAAAGTTCATGGACCAGTTGTGTTACTGCCATGAGGCAACTGGTCAGGATGGTCAAGAGTCAACCAGGAACCAGCAGAAAGCAGCTCTGGATGGACCAGAAGCTGCTGGAACACAGCTGTCAGTGTCCACAGGGTCTGACATCAACATGAGCTGAGAGGCTGATGAAGAAGGAAGTTCTTCCTCCAGAAGCAGAACCTTAAAGCTCCACTGAAGTCTGCTGCTGGTCACATGGACAAAGAAAAGACCTTCTGGAGGAAAGTTCTGGTCAGATGGAACAAACACTGAGCAGAAACATGTCTGGTCTTTAAGCACAGCGACACTCCCTCAGTGTATGAATGAATGAAATGAAAATACTTTATTTATCCCAGAAGGGAAATTCAATTGTGTATGTGTTTGGTCATAAAGCAAAACTAGATGTACTTGTTCTTAGACAGTAAGAACCCTTAATGTACATCATACATCACCGAGTCGAGCCAAGTCGTCATTATTTATACAGCAAAGTTTTAAACAGCAGTCGTGCCAAAGGGTCGTCCAGTGAAATGAAAAACGATTAAAGTTACAACAAGTGTATGCAGCGGGGTTAAGACCCAACAGTGTTCTTATGCCAATTTACCAGAGTAATATACACAATAGTGACATAAAACCCTAAAATAAATACACAAAATACCACTGTACCCGACCATAGTATATATTAAATACCTGATTTCACTAAAACCTTAACCTGATTAGTTTAAGTACACAGCCAAGACCCAACAACATCAATAGTTTATCCAGACTAGTTTTGACCTAAACCTAGGAAACACATACAAAAACCCAACAAATCCAAAGATCTCCCACATGAACAAGCACATCACATGCACAGAAAATAACACTTACTGTGTACGTCCATCAAATCCAAGGCTGTCCGCGTAACTGCACTTTGGAAAAAGTGTCTCGAAAATGGCCTCGTCTACCTGATTTAAGAGGTGTGGCGGGCGTTAACTCTCACGTGTTCACGTTGTAAAACATACGTTAAGCTTCCACAAACGAGTTCAGCCAGAAAACTCAAACATAGCAACTACACATCACTCATGATACACCTGCTGAGCTTCAGGCATTTATTTTTGAGCATCACCTACTTTGTAAAGTGCTATGTAAGTTTTATTATCATGTCGACAGCACAGACATTCAGGAAAACAAGCCAGTGCAGTTGGGTGTACCTGGCTTTGGGAATCCCTCCTTTGTTCCTCAAACGGGAGGACTTGCTGCCTTTTCTTTAAAGTATTTTAATTTTTAATGTGTTTCTACAGGCTGGGACCATTTCCTGGACAAAGCAAGCACTGTGAAGGCTCCACTTTGGGCTCTACGTCATTGTTATGGGCACTTTTTCTCACAAACTTAATGATCCATGAGGGAAATGAGCAGACCAATCCATAATGACAACAATAATTAGTTGTAGCTCTACCTAAGATACTGCAGTACTACTCTATCTACACATTAGTAATATACGTGGCCATGCTAGCCATGCGAGGACACCAAGTACAGTTTACTGATGTTGGCTTTATTTGTTTTGCAGTGTTTTACGATGTGCCTTGTAATATTTTCAATGCATTGCTTTAATTCTAGTGAAATTCTGAGTGAGACATCTGCATTATTACTGATTTATGTCACCTGTGGAGGAGCCGGGCTAGCTGCCCTGTGTCGTGGAGTAACAGCATCAGCCCGATCCTTTTAAAATGCAAGTAAACGAACTCATTAAAAACAACAACATCCAGCTTTACAGAAATCTCCTTTATTCACTGATTGCACAAACCACACACTTTGGTCCACACAGTTGGACATTTGGTTCCAGATTCTCCTTCCTCACGTCATCAGAAGTTCAATAATTACACAATCGCACCGTTAACTCGTGAATGCGCGTCAGACTTTCTTGATTTTTTTTCCAGCCGCCTTGACCTGAACCTTTGATTCTCTCCTGCACAGAAACGCTGCTTTCTAAATGTTAACTAACTGCATTAATTATGTTTATTCATAGTGATTTAAACTCCACGTCCTCTCCGTGTTACACATCAGACACGCTTTTCAAACTTAATTCAGTCCTAACGGGAAACAATGAGCGTTTCTCTGCAGTTTAAAGCGCTTTAAGCTGCTGAACTGACTTTAAACGAAGCGTAAAACAGACGGACAAGTGATTTATTAATTAACAGATCGATTCACGTCATCCTTCAAGACAGATGCGTTTTTTCTGTTTTTAAATATGATTGCTTTGATTGATTGCACATGTATCTGTCAACGTGGTTAAAACCTGAAGATTTACAACATCTGGAGTTATTTTTTTATCCACGGCTTTTGTTAATGCGTTCCACGGTTAATAAATTACAGCTAAATGTAGAATCTGTACGCGTTAAAAAAAAACTGTTCGTTGCCTCGATCGTTCATGTGAACACAGAGAGAGATAAACTAAGACGTCGATGCTGTTTAAAGGCACTTTGTTTTTCCTCCTTTCTAAACATTTGACCAGTCACTTCATCTTGTACATACAGCGCTTCATGGATGCAGTACCAGCTGTGTACTAATACTACGATCAAAATCAATTTATAAACACCCAGCAAGAGACTGATTGGATCCAATAATCAAACCCTTCCCGTTCCAGCGCACAGCAGCTTATCAGACAACTACGGATCCCAGAAAACCTTCATTTAGGTTGAATTTTACTGCAGAGTGTTGTGAAAGAAAAGCTTGCAAAGTAAAGTATTTCACATACAGCGTCCCAGTTTGCTCTGAAATGCAAACTCCAAGAAGGAGAACAGCGTTAGAATGAGGCTTCACCTTAAAATATCTTCAGATGTTCTACTAAAAGTGCACAAAAAGCTAAAATTCTCCACTTTGCCTGTAATCAAGAAGTGGTTCTCTGTTCATTCGAGGTAAATTAGGCTTCAGAAGCATGTAAAAATGGGTTTTTAATCACTTTGTGTGTATTTGAGAGCTGAACAGAATCATTAAAATATCAAAAACTGATAAAGATGCTTCTCAAAGCCCCTCTGAAACCTCTGATATCGGTAATATCTGCAAACACAAAGCTACATTTGATACAAAACAATTTATCTGCTGCGTCGCCTCGAATCGTCGATCCTGGAGAAATTAGAGCTTCATTTTCCAAAGTCGTGTTTCTGTCCAGCGCTCGTTAAACAACCTGCTCGGTGTCGTTTTCACGCCGTCGCAGTGTGAGTTCCTGCAGGTGGTGAACTCTCAGACGAGCAGAGGATTGTCCAGCACGGCTACTCCCGCCGCCACGCCTCCGTCCGAGTGTTCGGCGCTTTTGGTCCTCAGCAGGTGACCGACGCACTCGTTCATCACCATGTCTTCGCCCTGCCTGCAGAGGAAACGCACACAAACGATGAACTGTCATAGTAAATAATAATAATAATAAACTTTATTTATATAGCACTTTTCAAAACAGGGTTTCAAAGTGCTGTACAGATTCAAAGAGGAGAGTAAGAACAACATTAAGCAACATTAAAAGAAGAGCTAAAAAATACATAAATAAATAAAAAATGGTGAAGGTGAAACACAAAAAGCATGAAAGACAATAAAACAAGACAAAAATATATAAGAAAAATAAAACCCAGTAAAAGAAGACAATTAAAATACAATAAAGGAATAAAACAGTTAGAAGGTAAAATGTGCTGCCCGTAAACTGCCATCAAACGGAGTAAAAGTCCACTCATAAAACAGCTCCTGTAAAAGCACATCTGTAAAAATGTGTTTTTAAAAGAGTTTTAAAGGAGGACAAAGTGCCTGCAGATCTGATCTCCTCGGGGAGGCTGGTCCAGAGGGTGGGGGCTCTTTTGGTCACCTTTGGTCCTCAGCCTCGAATGTGGGACGGTGAGCAGAGCCTTGGCTAAGGACCGCAGGCAATGACCGGCCACATATGGGGTGAGGAGATCAGAGATGTATTGAGGTGCCAGTCCAGATCGTGCTTTATAGGTTAACAATAAAGTCTTAAAATCTATTCTAAAATTAATTGGAAGCCAATGAAGGGAAGCTAAAACAGGAGTCATGTGATCTCTCTTGTTGGATCTGGTGAGGAGTCGGGCTGCTGCGTTTTGGACCAGCTGTATAGACTCTGCTGGTTCAGAACAGTGTTCAGAGAGTTACAGTCGTCTAAACGAGATGAGATAAAAGCATGAATAACAATTTCTAAATGATGTCTGGATAGAACTGACCTCGTCCCCTGCCTTCACCCTAAGTCAGCTGGGATAGGCTCCAGCCCCCCCGCGACCCTAGTGAGGATTAAGGGGTGTGTAGATAATGAATGGATGGACAGAACTGACCTCACCTCAGAGAGTCTCCTAAGCTGCGTAAAACAAGACTGAGCTGACATGCTGGTTCAGGTTCAGGTTTTCATCAAAGATGACCCCAAGATTTGTACATTTTGCAGCTATGTTACAGGATAACGAACCTCAGTGTGTTGCTGCTGTGGCTGAACCAGGACCAATAATCATTACTTTGGTTTTGTCTAAGTTTAGCTGGAGGAAGTTTTGAGCCATCCAGCATTTCAGGTCCTGGATGCAGCTGTTCAGAGATTGTAATTGGTTAAGATCATTGGGGTTAAAAGACAGGTACAGCTGTGTATCATCTGCATATGAGTGAAAACTCAGGTTGTGATTGTGGATGATATGTCCCAGGGGTAACATGTAAAGGGAGAATAGGAGTGGTCCGAGGACCGACCCCTGGGGAACCCCGCAGGTCAGCGTGATACAAGATGACTGTGAGCTGCCAATGGCGACGCTAAAAGACCTGTCATGCAGATAAGAATGAAAGCAGTTTAAAACGGAACCAGAAATGCCAACCCAGTGTTTCAAACGTTCCAGTAAAAGAAGATGATGGACAGCATCAAAGGCAGCACTCAGATCTAAAAGAACTAAAACAGAAGATTTTCCAGCATCAGCAGCAATTAGCAAATCATTAAAAACTTGAAGTAGTGCCGTCTCTGCGCTTTGCTCTGAAACCAGACTGAAATGTTTCAAAAATGTCATTATTGTTTAAAAAAGCAATTCCTTGTTCAGCCACAATCTTTTCAAGAACTTTGGAAAGAAACGGCTGTTTTGAAATCGGTCTATAATTGTTCAAGCAGTTTGGGTCGAGTGATGCTTTTTTCAGGAGTGGTTGAACTTCTGCTTTTTTAAAATCAGCAGGAACAGAACCAGTTAAAAGAGACGAGTTTATTAATTTAAGAATATAAGGACTTACGGAGTCATAAACTTCTCTAAGAAACCTCACGGGCAGGATGTCTAAGGCACAGGAGGTGCTGATGTTGGACTGATGTTGGGTTCCACTCCATCTCAAATCACCACATTTTTAAAACAATTTCTGCTCGATCGTCTCTGATTTGCCTGATTGGACACAACTAAAGACATTCATGAAATTTTAGCTCGACACATCAAATACGTTCAGAGATTAATTTCCCGTCAACCGACTTTCAGGTAGTTTTGAGGATGTTTGATCGACAATATCTCAGAAACTATTAAAGATAAAAACCTGAAATTTTCTCTGTTATTTCTCATCACGTCACTGATTCATAATCTGTAATATCGGACAAGTAGCTCAAATACTCTCTGAACTGGAGCCGTCTTGAAAAGCCTCATCTTTGAGCTCGTTTACACAAAAAAGTTGACGATGCAGACGTCGACTCGTGATGTTTTCTGAACTACGAGTCGCTGCAGGTCACAATGATGCAAAAGTTGTGCGAGTAGATAGTCTCATCCAGGCAGAGGAGAGTTGTGGGGTTTTAAAATAAGGATGTGAACACAGCACAGGATTTCTGGAGAAGTTAAGGCCCCGTCGACAGAACGCAAACGCACAAACTAGAACTCTCTGTTTGGGATGATTGTAAAGGTGTGGATGCTCAAGATTGTCTTCCTGCTCCTCCTCACAACTAATATTTGCTTTGAGGATGGTGGATGACATAATTAACCCTTTAACACCCAAGTGTCACACAGTTTTTTGTTATTTTGGCTGTGAAAGAGTCAAAACTCATGAGTGATGATCGCGGACTTACAGCAACGTGAAGGCCACATGCTACCGTAATACATCTAATATCCTCGTAAAGCTCGTCTTCTCTTCATCCAGAAACTGTTTGAATTTTCTCTCGAGCACAAACGCTAATAGAGTTAGTTAGGCTGCGCTCCGATGGGATTTAAAGCATTAATGGAAAGCATGAATTGGTCTTAAGTCACCAATCCTAAGAACGTCAAAGGCACGTTTATGTTAATGTCACATAGGGGACGTTAGTAGAGCTGGTGTTTTGTAATGTTTTTTAGTTGTTGTAATAAATATGTTGGCTAATGCAGAGCTAAATGTGGCTTTTTAGCTGCTCCATGCTAACTGTGTCTGCCGGGTTTCGATGCTGGACAGGTCGGAGTCGGTCCACTGGAGATTCAGCAATAAAGCTCTGAAGAATCGAGAGGATCTGTAGAATCAGGGCTCAATTTAAAGCATCCACGAGCGTCTTCTATCACATTTTGTTCATTAACACGGTCTTCCCAGCATCAGCAAAGTATCTCCAGACGTCAACAAACGGCTGAGATCTCCACTGAACACGCTGAACCCAGACGTACCTCACGTAAGCTCCGAACACGCCCAGCTCACTGAGACAGCTGCTGACTTTGAGGGGCGCGTCTCGTCTCAGCAGGTAGTTGTGTACGGGCGTGGGGTGGATCTTATCCATCAGGATGTAGGCCGTGCGCTCGCTGCTGTCCTTCATTCCCTCCAGGACCTGGCAGATCTCCGACCCGTAGATGTTGTTACCTAGAAAAGGGACAGCTTTCAGTGTTGCTTGTGATACTAGAAATGCAGCAAATGTAGGGATTTTTGAGGATGTTCTTCTTTTCTCGTACCTCCTCCTTCTCGCTGAGGCTTCAGGACGAACTTGTCCGGCGCCGCCAAAGCCATTTGTACTGTCGCGTCACCTTCTGGGCCCTGTGGACGACACCAACAACGAATAAATGAGGGGGGTAGTGCCAAAGTGGGCCAAACCACATTTTCTACTTTCTACATCATCAGGAACTAGAGATACTTCTGAGGACCACGGGGTAGAAGTAGACGCTTGGTGGTGGTTCATTAAGGTTTTATTTTACCTACGAGTTGAGTTTTCTTGCAGGGCTTGAGGTCACGCTGTCCGCCATCTTGAATCGCCAACACGTTGCGACTACCTGTGATATAACGGTCAGCAGTTCCTGTGGCTCGGTCCAGTTTGACACTAAGTTTTCGTGCCAAAACCATCATGGGACGAACTTCAAAGTGGTATTACTCGTGGGCTGCTGCTTGGACCAATTTGCCACGAACTAGCCGACCATAAACACTTGTCAAAGATAAAACTCAACCTTGGATTTTTTTGTGGTTTGGCCCGTTTTGGCACTGAACCCCTAAAACCAACCAGGAACATTACAGACGTGGCAACGTCACTTAAGCTCTCAGTGCAAAAACACCCACCATGTCCAGGGTGTAGAGGCCGGCGAACGTCGCTCTGATCTGCTCCACTACTTGAGGCTGGTCGGGGAAGAACTTCTCCAGAACTCCAGGCCTGGCGAGAACCTGCTGGACCTTCTTGGTTCCGGCCAGGTGGGTGCCGATATCTGGACATTTCACCGCCCGAGAGCGCTCCATCAGAAGACGAGTATCCCAGCTCTACAGGTCAGAAACATCAAATCTAGAATGAACATCCAGCCATGAGCTCCACGCCGACACAAACAGTCGATGGAGACTTTTTTTTAAAACTCTGTTGTGCGGACACGCTTCCTCTCGGCTGACATTCCTGACAAAACAGCAAGAACATTGACCAGCGGCGCGTGAGGGCAGTTTGTTTTTCTTTGCCCTGGGGGGAGGGTAGGGAGCGTGCGACCCGGACCGACAACACCGACAGAAGGATGAAGGACGGCGGCACACAGTGACGCCACCAAGCAGAAGCAACAATTAAAAAAGGCTTTTGCAGTTTTGACTTGAAACTTGTCGACTGCTTTTGCGAAATATTTCCCTGTAGCTCCGATCGTTTTCTCACGCAGATGGTCGGACACGAGTTTGGGGAGCCGACGTCTAACAACCGCTCTGAATTAGTCAAACTCTCGGCATAAGTAAGCCAGAATTAGCTTCATGTTTACGGATTATTCTGCCGAGTCGTATCCAATGTTGCGGAGCTTCAGGTCCGTGTGTGTCAACTTGCGTTCACTTTTCCTGCAGCCTTTCATACGATCTGCTTCAGATTTGGCGGGTGTTTCGCTGGAGACCAGAGGTTCAGCGTTAAATTTGAAGACGTTTAGATGAACGGTGGTTGTTTGGGTGTCTTTTTGGGGTCCTCTGGGCCTATAGTCGGAGAATAAGTTGCCCTCGCGGCTCCACAAGACATGAACAAGCATCAGTCCTACATTACATTAAAGCCCTCCGAATGGACACTTATTTGGATCTCTAAAGGCAAAACTCTACACGTCAGAGTTTAGCCACCGACTGTGAGCGCTGTGCTGGTGGAAATAGTTTCAATCATACCAACGTTTAAATGTAATTTAACCAATTTGCTGCAACAGTAAGAAGCAGGCTGACAGTTCGGATGTCTGAGAGTCTGTTACCAAGGAAACTAAATGCTAAAGACATGTTTTTCCAGCATGACTGCAGTTCCCAGGACAACAACAACGACTAACAGGACGGAAATGAGTAAATACCTGTTCAGAAGTGTAGTTCTGAGGCATGTAACCGTTCCTGAAGTAAACCACTGCGACCTCCTGGCCATCGCTGAAACGAGAGCGACACAAATGCACGTAAACGTCTCCTCCTGCTACGTACAGCTTCTAGTTCTCATTGAAGAACAATAATAAATGTATTTTAAATAGCTTATTAAGTGACAGACACTCACACAAACAGCCTCTTGTTCTCATCGAGGGACGCCGTTTTGGAGACTTCCTCAAACCGTCGTCTGATGGTGCGAATGTTTCTGAAAAACAAAGTGTGCAGGTTTTTTTTTTAAATATTTACACCGTTTGCAATAACAGGAAGAAGCCTTGTATGTAAACGTTGTATGTAAAGTGTACAGATTTGGATTTTTCCCTTTTATTACCTCTTCCACAGTTCGTTCTCGATATATCGGTGGTCAAAGATGTTCCTCTGACTCTCCTCCACCAAGAACACGACGACTGCTCTGTGACGACGACGTACAAGAGCCCCATTAAAAAGATCATTTGGGTCTCTCCACCTCAATTCAACTCATTTTTAAACAGTTCCCCCGTGATCATCTCATATTTGGCAGATTTTATTCTGTGTATACATAAGCTATAAAATAAAATGTGTAAACTTTTTGGTCACGAGTGTTTTTTCAGTTAAAAATTCTTCAACTACTTGATTTTTACACTTGTTTTCCAATCTGTGGATCGATGTTCAAAGTGCCATAAGTTGAGAAACAATGCAGCTGAAGTCCTGACATTTGGCAGACCCATTGATACGTCCATCTGGTCTTCAATGGCTCAACCCTGCTTTGATAGAATAATGCAAACCAGTTATATGATGGTAAAAACTTAGTTAAAAAAAAGGTCAATGTTTCGGTCTACTCTGATATTACATCAACCATAAAACCTGAATTTTTATTTTATTTCATTGGCACCGATCGTAGATTTAAAAAAATGTGGAGTATGGTGCCAGTCAGAGAAATACTTTATGAGAAAAACATGATTGAACTTTTTGAATTTATGGCCGATATATAACATGCATTGAGCAGGTGTGATGGTGAAACCAGTCCAATAGTGTCCCAGCTAGAAGACTTGTATGATATTGTTAGTGGGATACAAGAAACTTTATGGCTTATTGTCAATTCTGCCAAATGTACAGGACATAGACGGGATTAAAATGCAGTTTCTGTCAGATCCCAGTGCAAACATGCACAGTAGAAAACAAAAAAGACACTAAGAAACAAGACACTAAAGTAAAATACTGCCTGGCTGCTTTGTCACTTCAAATGTTGATCCACAGATTGGAGCAAAGAAAACGACGCAAAAAATCGATATGAGCCTACTTCCTTTAAGAATTTTAACATTACCTGTGAAACCAGAGTTTAAACATCAATACTCAACACTTTAATAAAAACTAATCAGCCTAAATGAAGATGGGTGAACTCAGGAATGATCCATTTGGTCGGCCAACTGTTTGAACCATTAACTGCAGCTCATCTGACATGTATTTGATGGACACCATTCGTTTCTGTCCTACCGCTCTGATCCATAGAGCTCCCAGGCTTTGGCGATTCCTCCGGCCAGACCAGCTGCGGGATTGTTGTCAAGGATTCGCTGGCTCTCCTCCAGCCTGCCGGCGACTTTGAGGATGAGTCTATCAAGCCAGACGGAAAGCGCTTTCAGCAAAAACCCAATCACAGCGAAATCGTCCGTTATTGCTTCCTCTCTGTCGCTTATTCCTTCATCTTAATTAACCAGGAACGTGTTATTTGCTGAGAGCTTGACATTGTGGATGACAGGATCAAAGTGATTCTTGTTAAATACAGGAAAAGTAGCTGCAGAAATAGAACCGCCGTCAAGTAGACGACCTAAATTTGGCATAAAAACATTCATTTTTTATGGGGATAATTAACTAAAATGATCATTATCTTTACAGATGTTGATGTTCTTCGCTCACCTGTGTAAATCCGGAGTTCGTGACGAAAGGCCTCCGAAACTGGCGGCGATGGTGTTGATCTCGATCTGCTTTAAAGACGCCGTCTGACCGTCTCTCTGGTCCAGCATGAAGTCAGAACGATTCAAACCCAAAACAATGGACTGGAAACGAGGCAAAGAATCCCCAGTTCAGACTAATTAGGTCACTGAGAGGTAACGATGAAGGCACATTCATCAGGAGTCTGGTCAGCAGGAAACCAGACGGCATTTCCTTTTATTTCATACATACGAGGAGGATTCAAATAGACATTTTTATTTGTAAGCAACCTTCAACCCAGAGTCTTTTTTTCGGAGTTTAAAATATTTTTGTTGCAGAAACAGAATTTCAGCTTCTCTGTAGCAGTTCATTGATTTTATAAATGCAACACACTGTAGTATTTTACACATAGCATAAAGATAAAAAACATGTGCAGTGTTATCTTCATTTTAGATGTCAGAAGGGTTTTGTGACTCCTGGTGTTTTCTTTTCTTTTAGGAATCGTGTCCAAATGGTTCTTTGAATGTTTAAGGTTGCCGACCCCGATCTAAACAAACGGGTAATTCTGAGAGAGCTTTCAGTGTTCACTACTCCTAAATAGTGATGACTGTTACAGAACAGTGGCTACATCAGAGTAGAGGACTTTAAAATGAATATACTGCATCAGGAATCGGTTTAAAATAACAACGACACTGATCACTACAAGGATGCTAAACACTGGATCCAATAACCAGTCAACCAGTCTCTGTAAACTGTAAACGATGTGATTTTTAGGTCGTTACTTTGAGTTTTCTTCGTAATTGTGAATCATTTAAGGGCAAACAAGCTACTTTTTGTGCTTAGCTCCACAACAAACCCTCTGAACTATAAAATACAGCACAATATCAAGCTAAGTGTGAACTGTAACACACCTGAGACCTTCCTTCTTTCAGGATCTGCTGGTGGATCCTGAACAACTTGGCAGTGAAATCATCCACGGCAATGGTGCTACAGACAGACACACAACAGCTTGTTCAAAACGTTATTTAAGACAGACCTCAGATCAAAACGTAATCTGTAGTGACAGTTTTCTCCTCTCATTCTTTGTTGAAACTACTGTTCCCAAACAGCTGAGGATCACGTAGAAGTTCGTGTTGTGTCGCACCTCTCTAAAGCCTCCTGCAGAAACTCTGTGTCCCGACTGATCTTGTCCATCAGTGTGTTGTAGTGAGTTTGCACAGCCAGAGCCTGGACGAACACGGCTTTGGGCACCGGCGAGGGGAACAGCGTGAACGGAGCGTGGCTCACCAACTGAAAAACAAGTTGTGAAATGCAAGACAAAGAATGCTGACATCAGAAAAAAAAAAACACAAAACATTCACCTAAAACACGCAAACGCTGGACGCTGCATGCGAGGAATGAACATAATGCTTTTGGGATAAAAAAATCCCTGGAATTGCAAAGACAGGCTTAATGAAGATCTGTTTAAAATCCTGTGCCCTAAAGCAGAACAAATTCCTAACATGACTTCACACCGAACACGCCTGTTTCACCAGCGGCGGCTCAGCGGCTCGCTGGTCACGTCCTCTGTCGGGGGCTGCAGCTCACAACTTAACAGATTTAGTATCCTGTCAAAGATGCACAAACTGATGAAAACTTCACTGTTAATCTAAACTTAAATTACATACAAAATTATCCCAGTTTTCTAAACTACATAAGCTCCTTGTGATGCAGCACTTTGCTTACAGCGGTCACATCCAGACTCATTTTTTGATGCCAGAGTAAGTTTGATCACAAGAACTGCTCAGAAACCTTTCATGCTGAGCTACATATGACATCCCTGGGATGAACTAAGAACACGTTTGCTTCCCAGTCGTACCTCTGACGAGTTGGGCGTCTCCTGGGTCCTCATTAGGACGCCCTGCAGAAGAGCCATATCTTTGGCCACATCTGCCAGCTCTTTAATCAGAGCAGCGTTCATCATCACCTCTTCAGGTATCCCCTGGGCCATTCTGACTCGCCTGAGATACGGAAAACAGTCAAAGTTAGTGGCAAAACCTCAGAAGGAGTCAAATAAAACACAGGTGAGGAGGACAACACGCTGTGAAAAAAAAAAAGACGTAAACAAACCTTACACCCTGCAGAACACTGGGGAAATAAACGTACTTGTTGTTGATTTCTAGTTATCAAAGTAATTAGGGATTCTGTATTTTGAACTTTTGGATTTCTGATTACAGAACTGACCTGCGTACTTGTTCTCAACATACTTCAAATAAAAATCACAGGAACAACACTGCAACCAAGTTAATGCTACTCCTATTCCTACTACTTTTTAAAATACTTTTAGCTGTTATTAATTTGCAATAGCAATAATCATCATTGTTGTTGTCACTAAAGTTGACTAAAATGCGACACAAACATTGCATATAAGTAAACACACAGAACAACAGGAACTTTCAGGCAACAACAAACTCAGACTTTGCTGCAAAATTCTGCAAAAACCAAAATAACAGACATCTGCAAGTCAATAGTCACATTAAACGACAACACGCTTCTCCTTCTTGTGGAATATTTCTGTTACGGCTCCGTGTATAAACCTCAAACCACACCTGTGGGTGAACTCTACTCACCTGTGCGAACTGGGCACTTCAACAACCGCTAGCTGCTGGTAATAGCGAGTTAGCTACCGATATTCAAGCTAGCAGACGTCCTCGGCGGGTGTTTCACGTCCTGCTCGCCACGTTTCACGCTCATGCAGGTTGTATTTTGAACTAAATATGACTCACATTCCCGCCCGAGGTGAACTTTTAGCCGTTAAAAGACTCTAAATCCGCCTCTGAAGCGCACGCAGCCCGCGCAGGTGAATGAAGAGCCGGATCTGCGTCTCCAACCTGCCCGACGCCGCTGATTGGTCGGTTCCGGCTGGACTGAACCACTCGACCGCTCTGGACTGACCCATCTGCTTGTGTCAGCCAATCAGCGCTCTATACGTCACCGCAGGGCTTAAAGTCCGGTGCGTGGTGAGAAAGTGCTGACTGCAGAGTGAAACAGCGATTTATGGAGCAAACAGGAACATGCGGGAGTCAAACCAGAGCGTTTTTATTTGATTTCTTATTAGTAGTAATGTTGTTTGAACACAGCGGATTAAAAATGCGGCTGTCACTGACCTTAACGGCACGTTTTCTTTCATTTTAATGAGCAAAAATGAGCAAAACAAACAAGCATAATTAAAAAAAAAGTGGTTGAAGGATAAATAAAAGTCACTTATATGTTCAGTATCTTATATGACAGCGAGAAAAAAGATTGGCAATGCAGATTTAGGTTGAAATAATACAGCTAGACTCCTACCATATTATATAAAATGCAAATTTACCTAACTTTATATTAAATATTAAGGTTAAAACCCTACTATATTATATATAACACACATTAACGTGGCTAACTTAAACGTTGGGAGCCTGCACGATAATATACACACTCACACAAATTACTTGACGAAGGTAAATATTATGGTTTAGACTCTAAAATATAACAAATAATACAAATTAATAGTAGAACCTACAACATTATGTACACCTACAAATTAACTAAAGAGTTATGGCAATGCAATATTTACAGATTTTCTAAATTACCCGACATGTTTAAATATTAGAGTAAAGCAAAGTCTAGTCACAATGTTGTCATACAGCACATTTAAAGCAACACGACTGAGCCAAAGTGTTTTCCAGCAGAGAAATAACATTAGCACTGCAAATTTATCTCTAAAGTTCAATTATTATGACCAGGATCCTGACATATTGTATAAAAACTAAGCAATCTGACTAAGAACATAAATACCAGACGGTTTGGTGGAACCGGTAGCTGCAGGTCAAACCAGAAATATCTGCAGAGAGCCACAGAGAAAAATAGTCAAACACACAAATCCAACAGGTTCAGCAGTTCACAGATGAGTTATGAGGAGTTATGGTTACATACGGTTTGACTGAAGTAATGATGAATGTGACAGTTTGGTACAATGACAGTCAGATTTGTTTTTGAACCTTAAATAAGACTAACTTTAACTTTACGGTTAGTGTCGGTTTAACATGTTCCCCACACATCTTAGTATGTTAATGTTTGATAATCAGCGTAAAACATGAAGAGTTAAGTGAATTTCAGCAATTTTTTCATTTGAGCAGACACATGCTGAGCTGATGATGGTTCTAAATGAAAAAAAAATCATTTTATTAAATCTTTTTGTTTAAAACATAGATTTGTTTTTAAATGGTTGAAGAAATGTCTCCTGCTCTTTTTTTTTAAGCATCAATAAAATAAGTGTTTTTGTGCGTTTACAGATGTATTAAATAACAAGCAAACAAATGTTGTGCAGGAGGAAATGTGTGATTTATCAACTACTGATGAGAAGTTCAGTCCAGGGCAGGACTTTCCTCCTGCTGTCAGCCTCCTCCACACCAGCAGAGGGAGCTAGAACATTTTCCAAACAAGCCACAGAGCTCTTCCTCTCAGCTTCCTGGTTCTGCTCAGCCTCCCTGTGGGTTCCTCTGCAAACAAGCTCACAGGCCTTCAGGCGAATCAGTAGGTTTCTGTTGACTCAGCGTGTGAGAGGGAGAACAAATAAACAGAAAGAGTGTTTGGATGCTGTCACACTGGCAGCGCACGGTGAGGAGGCAGCAGTCCAGAGTGATCAGGAAGCACTGGGCTGTGTAATTTTGCACCGTGTTTGTGTGCACACTTGTAGATGGCGAGTGGACAGCTGTCGAGGGCGGAGGCGTTGGCATGCTCAGGCTGCAGGCATGCATGCCATGTGATGCTCTACTGTGACACGAGTACTCAGCTGTTTGGGAGAATTCCCATCAGACACATCATTCTGGTGAGCGTGCATGCTTTTAAACGCGTGTGCGCTGAACTGAAATGATTGCACCTTCCCATTTCTGCTTGTTGGAGTAAAAACACATATTTCTGTGTGTGTGTTTGTGTTTGTGTATAACAGAATGTGTCACTTCCCACAGATGCAGATGCGCTTTGACGGTCTGCTGGGTTTCCCTGGCGGGTGAGTCTTTCCTGGTGCTGCTTCTGTTTCATGTGCACAGGTACACTTACCTTCGGTTTGCTTCCTTTTTCTTCACAGACGAGCCCCGTCAAACGCTACAAAGCCTTACTGCACGGAACAAACATTCACACAACATCAAACTGCAAGGGTGCACATTCAAAGATAAGAAAATGTGCATGACAGGTTCCTCTGCACGGCGCCTTATCTCGTCTTTAAATCCCTTTTTTGTCAGACACACACACTGCTTAATTAGTATTCGACTAAATGTGAATCACTTGTGCCTTTGTATCTGTGATTTGCAGAAGTCGCTGCCAGGATTTCTGGTGCATCGTTTGCCAACACAGTGAAATTATGTAACGAGGCAAGAAGGCGAGTCTGAAAAATCACAATGACATATGCAAAACAAAGGAAAATTGCATTAAGAAATGGGAACAGCGGTCAGAACCTACAGAGCACATCAACATGGGTGTTTTTCACTGCAGATGGCTCAAGCAATGAAACCGATTCAAGCTCTTTGTGTCGACGTGTGCGACCGATTTGAAAGTGGATGCACACAGTTTTATTCATTCTGCAGCAGGTTCAGGTCGATTAGCTGCAGACTGATGCCTCATACAGAACACAGAACAACAATGTCTCTGAAAGATGCTGTGACTTTGCACTTTGGTAGCAGCTACTTCCAGACTGTGTCAGTGTGATTATTCCTGAGGTTCGCTGAGCACAGTGGGTGGACGCAGCGCAGCCTTTCTGGAGAAACCAGGACTTCCTGCTGTGTTTGGGCACCGTTGATGGAAAGGACGAACAGATCAAAGCACCTCCAAAGTGCTGCAGCGGCAGCTACATCAGTTACAACTCCTTTAACGATGAATTATGAAGGTGTGGATGAGTGAAAAGCTCCTTGAACACTGTCTCCTTTGCAGTGTTGTCCACATGAGCCCTTGCAGACTCACATCGTGCACACCTTCGTAGACCATTGTGGAAAGCATTAATAAGCTTTTCATCGTGACAGTGGTTCCACCAGTGGTAGAGACCAAAACATTTCATAAACTACTGTTTGAACAGCAGTCGATTTTGTACAATTTGTATGTTCGTGCCACCCAGAGGATGAATCACAGTGCCTTTGGTGATTTTAGCTTTTCTCCACAAACTTTGAGCAAAATTTCCCCAAACTGTTGATTAAATTGCTGTGAGATTTGACTCAGCCGTTCATGTTCCACGTAGAACAGACATTCAGTGTTTTGGAGGATGAATGCCACTGACCTTGGTGACTTTTTAAACCGTAAAGTTTTGGTTTTGGCTTAGACTGCGGCTAACATAGCAAAAGCCCAAAAAGATCCCAAAATGGCCAGTGCTCTAAGAACAACTTCAGAACGGACTTGACGCTGCACCTCCTCTGATGTCCAGTAATACACCCACAAAGTGTGACGTAGTTCAGACGTACAGTTATCAAGATATGCCAAAAACAGACAAACACACGGATCCCATCATTTATCAGTGAGATATCTAAACAAGTGTCGGACTGATTAACAGTTTGGACGTCCGTGTTGGGACGACTTTGATGATCTTTAATGTAATGCTGTCATCAGGTCAGAATTCAGTTTAATTTCCTTAATATTCTAGTTTACCGCCACATGCTGGCCAAACTCATGACATACTGGCTTGTTTTAATGAGCACAATATTAGCATGCTGTCATGGTAAACCAAGATTATGATCGCGATAAACATAAATGCTAAATATCAACCTGTTAGCATTGTGACTATTAGCATGTTAGCATACTGACATGAGCATTTAGCTCAAATTGCCTGAGTGCAGCCTGTAAAAGCTGCTAGCTCTTAGTGTCGTTACTCTGCCATCTTTTAACTTTTTTTATTTTTTCCATATATGCACCACATGTCTGAAAATAGTGAGCTGACTGATTGGAAGGTTGAGCTAACGCCGTGTAGCACAGCATCACCGCTAGTAGTGTGGGATTGGAGCACCGTGCAAAAGTGGCTAAATTACACTTAACAGCTGATTTGCAATATTAAAAAGTGTTATTCAGAAACAAAACTGAAGCACAAAAACAGATGCACTAAAAGCAGTTCGTTCCACACACTGGTGTTGGCTGCAGGACTGCTGTGTCCTCAGTTGTACGTCCAGATGTTTGCTTCTGGAATCACAGGCCTTAAAACACTCCGTCCACACAGCATCTCGAGCTGCTTGCTGAGACACAACAGAAGTGAAAGCAGCCATTTCAGTTCATTACGTAGCTCCGAGTGGCCTTTTCTCTGTGTTCCAGTGACATTTGGCGGGTTAACCACACCTCCCCAGAGCCGCTGCTGGCTGTCGGCGTTCTGCTGATGCCAAAGTCGTCTCCTTTGTGCCTAAATCATCCGGTTCCGGTAAAACACTGCTGCCACGGCGGCGCTCTGTGGCCGCAGTGAAACTGCTTCAAACATGTTCTGTAAGTTGCATAATGAAAGCAAATGGTCAGAAGTGGAATTAAAACAAATCCTGAATCCCGTGATGTTGCCTAGCAACAGGGATGACAGACTCTGCCCACTGGCAGCCAAAGACCCGCTGAGGACCCCGCGAAGATCCCAAAAAATGGCTTCAGACTCTGAAGCGGCGCACCTGCCAAGTTTGAAGTAGATCAAATGTTTGGTACTTGAGAAAACAAAGAACAGACGGACAGAGATCCAACATCCATGAGTCTGCATCGGTTTTATCGTGCTGAACCTTTAGAGCCTGAATGGAAAAGATGGACGGAGCAGCCGTGACTTCATCCACTGATTTATCTGAGTACCACCGTGAAGCCTTTGTTTGAATCTTTGCTCATCAGTTCTGGCTTTTTGAAACTGGACACAACAAGCAACAGAGAACTCAATTAGGGCTGCAACTGACGATTATGTAGATAATCGATTCATCTGTCGACTAATTTTATGATTATTCTCTTCTTTTTTTAAACAAACACTTTTGTTTAGCCTTTATTTACCCAGGTGAGTTATTAGGAACATATTTTCATGAAAACAGGAGAATTGTGCAGTTTTTTTTTTTTTCACTAGTTTCTGTAAAACAGCTCAAATCAGAAGGAACACAATGAGCTTTATATCTACCTCATCAGTGTAAAGATTTTTCAGTTCAAAGCATCAAACACAAAAAAAATGAGGTAAAACACTCAAACTGTTTTTGCAAAGTTTGCAGGTCACTTGTCTTTTTTGGTGTGAAGTGCTCCCACACGTTGGATGACTTTGTTCGTGAACGTTTCTCTCCTGATTTATCTCGTTTCTCATTTTTCTTCGAACTTTCCAGCCGTCCTGCTAGTTATTGGCTGTCGGCTGCTTCTCCTGCTGTCCTGGTGGCTCATTACTGCCACACTCTGGTAGCTGCTGGAACAGATTGGTTTAAAAGTGGAAAAAAAGTCCCGCTTCCAATAAAAAACATGTTATTAAGCAACTAATCGATGACTAAATTATTTGATAACTATTTTAATAAGCGATTGTTTCAGCCCTAAACTCAGTGCATCATGATACAGCAGAAACCTGTCAATCACAAGCTAAAACATACTCGCTTTGTCGTCTACTTTGCTCTAAATGGCACCAAAAGTTCCAAAATCAACATCGTAATGTATTAAAAATGTTTTAAAAGCAGCGACCCCACTTAGCGAGTCCATAAACATTTACTGAGATAACTAATTAAGTGTGAAACAGACTCATTTTTTCATAGATCAGGCTTCTTTCTGCAACCAGTGGAGTCGCCCCCTGCTGGCGGTCGGACAGAACGCAGGTTTGTCGGTGTTGCCCTGCAGGCTGCGTCCATGTTTTATATGCGGTGACCTGTGACTTCCTTCAGTGCCGCCTCAGCAAACTAGTTTTAAAATTCAATGAGCGTTTCAATCGGTTTGATTTACTCTCATGCGCCATCAGCGCTACCAGGAGAGCCGTACGGCCGACGTTATTTATCCGCCTTCGTAACTGACGCTGACCTCTGACCTCCTCCTTCAGGCTCGTAAACCCGTCGGAGGAGACGCTGGAGGCCGGGCTCAGCAGGGAGCTGTCGGAGGAGGTGGGTGTAGCTTTACCTATAAATGTCGAGGATCACGTGGAGTCCTGCTACGCTCCTGCTACCTCGTCCTCCTCCTCCGCCTCCTCCTCCCGCCGCCTCATCACCCACTTCTACGTGAAGAAGATGGAGGAGGAGCAGATTAGGGAGGTGGAGAGAGCGGCTGCATCCACTGCGACGGATCACGGGCAGGAGGTAACGCGTCCGTCCAGAGTGACTGATTGCAGCCATTTGCCAGATCTCATGCTCCGCTCCTCCTCGTTTGTCTTCTCAGGTTCTGGGGATGGTCCGGGTGCCGCTCTACGCCATGAAAGGCGGCGGAGGCCTGGCGTCCTTCCTGTCGCACTCGTTCATCGGCAACGCCCGCTCGCAGCTCGTCGACTCTCTGTCGCGCCTCGGCCTGGTTTCCCCGGCGGAGCTGCAGCGAGCGCTCGACAAGTCTCTGGAGACGCATGCAAACGCTGCAGAGCACCTGAGAGCCGAGGCGCAAAGGAAACGCTTTTGAAACTCACCTGCGTCGGAAACATCCTGTCAAACACTTGCATGATTTGACCCTCAGAGCAACTCAAACCTTCACACACTTAATCCTGCACACACACACACACACACACACACACACACACACACTCTGTCATGCTGATTCTGAGCCGGTGACTCATAATTGCAACCTGTGCATCAAACACTCGGTGGGGAGGGGAAACATTATCATCTCTGTTAATGGAAATAAAGTTGCTGTCCAACAGCTTCTCGGCCCTTTGAATCATCAGCGTGTTGTTGATTTGAGCTGAAACTGAACGAGAAGTGCAATTGTTCTGTGAGCAACACTCCTTCACAAAACCTTTTGTTTGTTATTGTTACGACGCAGATGACATTTTAATTCATCCAAGAGGATATTTCACATGAAAAACAATGAAAAACCAACAGGTGGGAGTTACTGTACGGCAAATAAAGATCATGAAGAGGTGTTTCGTTAGAGTCAACCTCCGATCGGCGTCTCCCCTCTTTAGAAGCTCCTCCGCTGTGGATCTTTGTCATGCTGGAATTTTCCTCTTCTGCCAAGTTTCTGCAGACTGGGACTCATCTTGTCAGCCAGTATTTTGTCATAATCACCCATTAAAATCATGACTTTCTGCCCTCATGCAGCCACATATCATGATGCTGCCACCTCCGTGCTTCACTGTCAGGACCATGCATCCACTGTGGAGGTCCTGGTCAGGTTCACACCAAACATCCATCTGAGGAGAACTCATTTATGATGGTTTAATGTGACCAAACTATGTGCTCCAAATATTCATCAGGCTTCTTTTCATTATTTCATAACCTTGTAGTTTTTCCTGCATGGACACGATCTGAGCTGTCACAAAACCTCAGATTTTCATTGATAACCAATAAGTCTGATGCTCTTACAGGTTTGTTTTTCAGAGCTGGAATATACAAATAGCGCACTTTCTGAAGCCCTGATTAGTGGTACTGTGGCTCCTTCTATATCTCCTGATTACTGCTGCACCTGCACGAGGCGTCAGAAAAGTTCCAGGACTGGTGAGACAGATGATAGATTTCAAATCCGAGCTACAAACTACACGTTTTACCCTTTGAAGTAACTGGAGTCTAACCCACCTCCTCAGCCTTCTCTGCCTTCACACCGCCATGCACTCCTGGAAGGATCCTCCACAGCTCCGTCGTCACAGCCATCTTGATGTCGTCTACGTCTTCTAAACAGGTCTCCTTGATGACCCCCTTGAGCTTGGGGAAGAGGAAACAACCCCACGGAGCCAGGTGGGGTGAGTAGGGAGGTTGCTCCAGCACGGAGACGTTCTTCTCAGCCAGGACCTGTGGGATGCTCGGGGCGTTGTCATGGTGAAGCAGCCACCACTTGTCTTGCCACAACTCTCATCTCTTTAACGAAGCAAACGGATCTCTTTGTAGACGAGCTGGTTGATCATCTGAACTCCTAGTTTGTGGTTTGAAGTAGATCTTTTGTGACAACAGTCCTGGAACTTTTCTGACACACCTCGTATTTTCACAGATTTGTTTTTTGTCGATCACCAGCCTTCATGTATGTTCCAGAACCTCTGACAGGTGGAGCCATGATGTGGACATGCAGATATGGAAATGTGTTCTTTGTTTAGTGTCAGTAACCAGCAGGTTTTCTAACCTGTGTATTTCCAGTCTAGAGTATTTATTTTTGGTTGTTTATAAGAGGAATTGCTCACCTGTTGAGGGGTGTTTGACATTTAGGTGATGTTGCACAGGACTGAGCTGCATCCAGGCTGCTTTCTATGGTGCTGCATAGGCACCCTGTGGTTTTCTATACCGACCGAGATCAAAGGGGCACCACAAAGATACTGGGTTTGTTTTTCCTTCCAGTCAGGTAGAATTCTTTGTCTGTCTTTGTGCTGTTTTTTCTTTTTTTTTTTTGCGATTTAATTTGTAAAGTTAGAGCGAGGCAGCAGCGGTGGCGGTGCCATCCAAGGATTAATTACGTCCGTGACATGCTATATAGCCTGCAGGCGTAGATTTGATTCTGTTTAAGTGTACCCTCGGCGCACATAAGGCGCCTGCACCAGATGTTAGTAACCTCATTCCGAGACAATATCGCTGGCAGTGAGCGAGAGCAGAGGCTGGATGCTGCCTAATGTTGGTACTGTACTGAAAAGTGCACGATCCATCCGCTATTGCAGACGATTCAGGATTCTCAACGCCTTGCATGTTCCAGTGTACAGTGCAGGCTGCAGCAGGTCTCCCCACAGCCGCCGTAAATCAACTTCACATCAGATGCACATAAAAGGTGGACGAGTGAGAGAAACGTTGCGCTCAGCTTTGCATCGTGATAGATTTCACTGAGACTTTTATAAGACTACATGCGTCTCTGAGCAGGTGTTAATGGTGCCATTTGTGAAGTAGTTCACTGAGATCTGCCGTCGATCACATGAGAGAAAAAAACCACATCCGGCGCAACAGACAGGAAACCCAGGAGACGTGTAGAAACAACTGTTGTTTGTGGTCGTGTTTTATACGATTCTGTGGGTCTTTTTGTGTGTGTGTGTGTGTGTGTGTGTGTGTGTGTGTGCATGCCTCCTTTCTTTTTTTTTTTAAAGCGCTGCATCCTGCAACGAGCAGCTACGAAGAGAAAAGCTTGTCATGTGATGTAAGGGGCGAATAATACAAGGTCATCAGAAAAACATTTAGCGGGAGGGGAGGGCAGGGATGGATGGATGGATGGAGCGAGGGATGCTGAGGGGAGAAAGACGGTATATTCATAGCAGCAGCGGTATTTATAGCCGCCCAGAGGAGAGGAGAGAGCTGGTGGGGGAGGAGGCGTGGCTTAGGGTTGTGGCTTTAGCGTGGTGAGAGGCAGAGAGGGAGGGAACAGGGGGAGGAGAGAGGCATCTCTGAGCAGAGAGAGAGAGAGAGAGAGAGAGGGGAGGCTATTTGGCATATTTGGCAGGAGAAGGAAAGAAAGGGAGGCGTGAGGAGGGAGGGAGGGAGAGAGGGAGGGCTGTTTTTGAGTGTGTGTGTCCCTGAGAAATGAGAGTGAGGGAGGGAGGGAGGGGAGGAGGGAGGAGGAGAGTACTGAGCTGAGAGAGAAATCTGTCAGATTCAAACACACTGTTCAAGAGAAGCGAGGGATGAGAGAGGAGAGGCCGAGGAGCAGATAGGAAGAAGAGCAGCACAAAGTGAGGTAGGGTCGGCTGTCATGCAGCCCGGCAGCATGTGAGCGTGTTGCAGGAGTGAACCGCTGTGTTTATATATAGTTTAGTGGTTTTAAATGGGCACTGTGTTCACTTGGGGCTTTTTTTTTTTCTAAGTGGACAAATGGAGCTACTGGCTGTTAAGGGGGGGTATCAATTATGTAATACGTGTGCACCATTTTCAGTGTGTGTGTGTGTTTACAAGCTTGTGTAATTATGCTGAGGTGTTTATGTGGCCATTGTGTGGAGCCCCTGCCACACTGCCTTGACCATATGGGCTGATTTACAGCCATTGTAAATAGAAGCCAGCACTCCAGCGCCGCTCCGAGCCGTGGAACCTTAATTCCCCTCCAGCAGCAGCTCGTCACCCACTGACAGATACGTTATGTTGTTGTTGGAGGGGATGCAGATGAGCACAAACAAGCTTCTCAGAGGCATCTGCAAAGTAGCATTCCCTTTGTGCGCTTGGTTTTTACTGTGCAACAACACAGATTGTGGTGATGGTGATGTGACAGAGCAGCACGAGCAAAGAAACTGCAACCTTAGAGGCTCGTGGAGCAGCTGCACACATATATTTATATATATACACAGATATATATATAGTTGGGAGTTTAGTGAATCCATAGAGGAAGCTCCATATTCATGCTCCACTTGCAATTTGCCGTCTATTGTGGATGCACATCGGTTTAAACCGCAGCAGTGCAGCTGACAGGTTTAAAAAAGAAGGAAAAAACAAGGACCTCGTCTAAGATTTAAATCCCTGACCTCAAGCAGCAACATGCCATGAAGGGTGAGAGCTACCATTTTGCCTCCACTGCATCAAAACAACCAACACAGACTCTCGGATTGTACAAAAAAACACAAAGAACGCTCATTAGTTTGTGTATTTCCTGCACACTTGCTGCACTCGCACATGCACAACTGGATGCTAACGTTGAACAAACGCCTCGTTTTCCCTCCAAATTTAGAAACTATGTTCGTTTACGATGAAGCATTTGCAGAATTTGGTGCAGAATCATTTCAGAATAATACATAATGTGTTTAATTTTGCACGCTTTACATTAATATAAGTGTGTATAAGTCGTGCAAGATGGCCCAACTTTTAACGACTTTGCTTCTATCTGAGCCCAAATTAGCCAAAGCTGTCAGATGCATGTAGTGGAGTGAAGCAAGGAATGTAAAGTGGCATAAAATAGAACGATTTCAGAACAGAACCCTAAACCTGCACCAAAGGACAGGATTTGTGTGAATGTTCTCAGTCACAGAGTTTCGTGAGATCAGCTCAGTTCACTAGACGTGATGTTCAGTAGAACCAAACCTAAACTGACCATTAATTAGTTCTGTCACAGAAATTTCCAGCAGCGGAGTTTAGATGCAGCCGGCCTGTCGGACTCTCCTCCCATCACACTGCCCACACTGTTTTATTCCACCTTTTTTTTTTTTTGGCCCTCCGCTGGGACCTACAGGTATGCAATCCACAAACATTACCTGTAAACGATCTTAAAAGTCAGCCTTGGCAGGGCGGCAGTGGAAATCTTTCTGCTGCCCCCTCTGGCTTTGACTCTGAAGCCCCGTCTGATGCAAAAACTGCTCTCAGTGCTTTTGCAATTAGGTGGCGAGCCAAAATCTAAAAGGCACCTTAGGCGTGTTTTATAGTTACCGTGCTGCAGCCAAGGACTAATAATTTACACCTTTTTTCTGCAAATGCACATCCTTTACCTCGATGTCTGGGACCCGAATCAGTGATGCATTGTGCCACCTTGAAACCAAACCGTCCCCGAGGTGTGTGTGTGTGTGTGTGTGTGCTCTGGCAGCCGGGATTAAACATCTGCTGAAAACTTTTGGTGAGATTTGCAGGTACACAGTAATTCTCCGCAGATGGCGAAAAAGCAGAAACTGGTGGTGGCACGCTACGACACGGTTTCCTGTTTGCTGTGGCAGCTGCAGCGGTTCAGGGGGGATATTTACAAGAGTGTAGAGAATCTCTGGCAACGGGGCGAACTTCGTCAGCGATATGATGAATTTAGATTTTGGCTACTTTGCATAGTTAATCTCGCGTCGCCCCAAATCTCATGACACGTTTGAAATGAGACCTGGGAGCNGAGCAGGTGTGATGGTGAAACCAGTCCAATAGTGTCCCAGCTGGAAGACTTGTATGATATTGTTAGTGGGATACAAGAAACTTTATGGCTTGTTGTCAATTCTGCCAAATGTACAGGACATAGACGGGATTAAAATGCAGTTTCTGTCAGATCCCAGTGCAAACATGCACAGTAGAAAACAAAAAAGACACTAAGAAACAAGACACTAAAGTAAAATACTGCCTGGCTGCTTTGTCACTTCAAATGTTGATCCACAGATTGGAGCAAAGAAAACGACGCAAAAAATCAACATGAGCCTACTTCCTTTAAGAATTTTAACATTACCTGTGAAACCAGAGTTTAAACATCAATACTCAACACTTTAATAAAAACTAATCAGCCTAAATGAAGATGGGTGAACTCAGGAATGATCCATTTGGTCGGCCAACTGTTTGAACCATTAACTGCAGCTCATCTGACATGTATTTGATGGACACCATTCGTTTCTGTCCTACCGCTCTGATCCATAGAGCTCCCAGGCTTTGGCGATTCCTCCGGCCAGACCAGCTGCGGGATTGTTGTCAAGGATTCGCTGGCTCTCCTCCAGCCTGCCGGCGACTTTGAGGACGAGTCTATCAAGCCAGACGGAAAGCGCTTTCAGCAAAAACCCAATCACAGCGAAATCGTCCGTTATTGCTTCCTCTCTGTCGCTTATTCCTTCATCTTAATTAACCAGGAACGTGTTATTTGCTGAGAGCTTGACATTGTGGATGACAGGATCAAAGTGATTCTTGTTAAATACAGGAAAAGTAGCTGCAGAAATAGAACCGCCGTCAAGTAGACGACCTAAATTTGGCATAAAAACATTCATTTTTTATGGGGATAATTAACTAAAATGATCATTATCTTTACAGATGTTGATGTTCTTCGCTCACCTGTGTAAATCCGGAGTTCGTGACGAAAGGCCTCCGAAACTGGCGGCGATGGTGTTGATCTCGATCTGCTTTAAAGACGCCGTCTGACCGTCTCTCTGGTCCAGCATGAAGTCAGAACGATTCAAACCCAAAACAATGGACTGGAAACGAGGCAAAGAAGTCCCAGTTCAGACTAATTAGGTCACTGAGAGGTAACGATGAAGACACATTCATCAGGAGTCTGGTCAGCAGGAAACCAGACGTTATTTCCTTTTATTTCATATGTACGAGGAGGATTCAAATAGACATTTTTATTTGTAAGTAACCTTCAACCCAGAGTCTTTTTTTTGGAGTTTAAAATGTTTTTGTTGCAGAAACAGAATTTCTGCTTCTCTGTAGCAGTTCATTGATTTTATAAATGCAACACACTGTAGTATTTTACACATAGCATAAAGATAAAAAACATGTGCAGTGTTATCTTCATTTTAGATGTCAGAAGGGTTTTGTGACTCCTGGTGTTTTCTTTTCTTTTAGGAATCGTGTCCAAATGGTTCTTTGAATGTTTAAGGTTGCCGACCCCGATCTAAACAAACGGGTAATTCTGAGAGAGCTTTCAGTGTTCACTACTCCTAAATAGTGACGACTGTTAGAGAACAGTGGCTACATCAGAGTAGAGGACTTTAAAATGAATATACTGCATCAGGAATCGGTTTAAAATAACAACGACACTGATCACTACAAGGATGCTAAACACTGGATCCAATAACCAGTCAACCAGTCTCTGTAAACTGTAAACGATGTGATTTTTAGGTCGTTACTTTGAGTTTTCTTCGTAATTGTGAATCATTTAAGGGCAAACAAGCTACTTTTTGTGCTTAGCTCCACAACAAACCCTCTGAACTATAAAATACAGCACAATATCAAGCTAAGTGTGAACTGTAACACACCTGAGACCTTCCTTCTTTCAGGATCTGCTGGTGGATCCTGAACAACTTGGCAGTGAAATCATCCACGGCAATGGTGCTACAGACAGACACACAACAGCTTGTTCAAAACGTTATTTAAGACAGACCTCAGATCAAAACGTAATCTGTAGTGACAGTTTTCTCCTCTCATTCTTTGTTGAAACTACTGTTCCCAAACAGCTGAGGATCACGTAGAAGTTCGTGTTGTGTCGCACCTCTCTAAAGCCTCCTGCAGAAACTCTGTGTCCCGACTGATCTTGTCCATCAGTGTGTTGTAGTGAGTTTGCACAGCCAGAGCCTGGACGAACACGGCTTTGGGCACCGGCGAGGGGAACAGCGTGAACGGAGCGTGGCTCACCAACTGAAAAACAAGTTGTGAAATGCAAGACAAAGAATGCTGACATCAGAAAAAAAAAAACACAAAACATTCACCTAAAACACGCAAACGCTGGACGCTGCATGCGAGGAATGAACATAATGCTTTTGGGATAAAAAAATCCCTGGAATTGCAAAGACAGGCTTAATGAAGATCTGTTTAAAATCCTGTGCCCTAAAGCAGAACAAATTCCTAACATGACTTCACACCGAACACGCCTGTTTCACCAGCGGCGGCTCAGCGGCTCGCTGGTCACGTCCTCTGTCGGGGGCTGCAGCTCACAACTTAACAGATTTAGTATCCTGTCAAAGATGCACAAACTGATGAAAACTTCACTGTTAATCTAAACTTAAATTACATACAAAATTATCCCAGTTTTCTAAACTACATAAGCTCCTTGTGATGCAGCACTTTGCTTACAGCGGTCACATCCAGACTCATTTTTTGATGCCAGAGTAAGTTTGATCACAAGAACTGCTCAGAAACCTTTCATGCTGAGCTACATATGACATCCCTGGGATGAACTAAGAACACGTTTGCTTCCCAGTCGTACCTCTGACGAGTTGGGCGTCTCCTGGGTCCTCATTAGGACGCCCTGCAGAAGAGCCATATCTTTGGCCACATCTGCCAGCTCTTTAATCAGAGCAGCGTTCATCATCACCTCTTCAGGTATCCCCTGGGCCATTCTGACTCGCCTGAGATACGGAAAACAGTCAAAGTTAGTGGCAAAACCTCAGAAGGAGTCAAATAAAACACAGGTGAGGAGGACAACACGCTGTGAAAAAAAAAAAGACGTAAACAAACCTTACACCCTGCAGAACACTGGGGAAATAAACGTACTTGTTGTTGATTTCTAGTTATCAAAGTAATTAGGGATTCTGTATTTTGAACTTTTGGATTTCTGATTACAGAACTGACCTGCGTACTTGTTCTCAACATACTTCAAATAAAAATCACAGGAACAACACTGCAACCAAGTTAATGCTACTCCTATTCCTACTACTTTTTAAAATACTTTTAGCTGTTATTAATTTGCAATAGCAATAATCATCATTGTTGTTGTCACTAAAGTTGACTAAAATGCGACACAAACATTGCATATAAGTAAACACACAGAACAACAGGAACTTTCAGGCAACAACAAACTCAGACTTTGCTGCAAAATTCTGCAAAAACCAAAATAACAGACATCTGCAAGTCAATAGTCACATTAAACGACAACACGCTTCTCCTTCTTGTGGAATATTTCTGTTACGGCTCCGTGTATAAACCTCAAACCACACCTGTGGGTGAACTCTACTCACCTGTGCGAACTGGGCACTTCAACAACCGCTAGCTGCTGGTAATAGCGAGTTAGCTACCGATATTCAAGCTAGCAGACGTCCTCGGCGGGTGTTTCACGTCCTGCTCGCCACGTTTCACGCTCATGCAGGTTGTATTTTGAACTAAATATGACTCACATTCCCGCCCGAGGTGAACTTTTAGCCGTTAAAAGACTCTAAATCCGCCTCTGAAGCGCACGCAGCCCGCGCAGGTGAATGAAGAGCCGGATCTGCGTCTCCAACCTGCCCGACGCCGCTGATTGGTCGGTTCCGGCTGGACTGAACCACTCGACCGCTCTGGACTGACCCATCTGCTTGTGTCAGCCAATCAGCGCTCTATACGTCACCGCAGGGCTTAAAGTCCGGTGCGTGGTGAGAAAGTGCTGACTGCAGAGTGAAACAGCGATTTATGGAGCAAACAGGAACATGCGGGAGTCAAACCAGAGCGTTTTTATTTGATTTCTTATTAGTAGTAATGTTGTTTGAACACAGCGGATTAAAAATGCGGCTGTCACTGACCTTAACGGCACGTTTTCTTTCATTTTAATGAGCAAAAATGAGCAAAACAAACAAGCATAATTAAAAAAAAAGTGGTTGAAGGATAAATAAAAGTCACTTATATGTTCAGTATCTTATATGACAGCGAGAAAAAAGATTGGCAATGCAGATTTAGGTTGAAATAATACAGCTAGACTCCTACCATATTATATAAAATGCAAATTTACCTAACTTTATATTAAATATTAAGGTTAAAACCCTACTATATTATATATAACACACATTAACGTGGCTAACTTAAACGTTGGGAGCCTGCACGATAATATACACACTCACACAAATTACTTGACGAAGGTAAATATTATGGTTTAGACTCTAAAATATAACAAATAATACAAATTAATAGTAGAACCTACAACATTATGTACACCTACAAATTAACTAAAGAGTTATGGCAATGCAATATTTACAGATTTTCTAAATTACCTGACATGTTTAAATGTTAGAGTTAAGCAAAGTCTCGTCACAATTTTGTCATGCAGCACATTTAAAGCAACATGACTGAGCCAAAGTGTTTTCCAGTAGAGAAATAACATTAGCACTGCAAATTTATCTCTAAAGTTCAATTATTATGACCAGGATTCTGCCATATTGTATAAAAACTAAGTAACCTGACTAAGAACATAAATACCAGACGGTTTGGTGGAACCGGTAGCTGCAGGTCAAACCAGAAATATCTGCAGAGAGCCACAGAGAAAAATAGTCAAACACACAAATCCAACAGGTTCAGCAGTTCACAGATGAGTTATGAGGAGTTATGGTTACATACGGTTTGACTGAAGTAATGATGAATGTGACAGTTTGGTACAATGACAGTCAGATTTGTTTTTGAACCTTAAATAAGACTAACTTTAACTTTACGGTTAGTGTCGGTTTAACATGTTCCCCACACATCTTAGTATGTTAATGTTTGATAATCAGCGTAAAACATGAAGAGTTAAGTGAATTTCAGCAATTTTTTCATTTGAGCAGACACATGCTGAGCTGATGATGGTTCTAAATGAAAAAAAAATCATTTTATTAAATCTTTTTGTTTAAAACATAGATTTGTTTTTAAATGGTTGAAGAAATGTCTCCTGCTCTTTTTTTTTAAGCATCAATAAAATAAGTGTTTTTGTGCGTTTACAGATGTATTAAATAACAAGCAAACAAATGTTGTGCAGGAGGAAATGTGTGATTTATCAACTACTGATGAGAAGTTCAGTCCAGGGCAGGACTTTCCTCCTGCTGTCAGCCTCCTCCACACCAGCAGAGGGAGCTAGAACATTTTCCAAACAAGCCACAGAGCTCTTCCTCTCAGCTTCCTGGTTCTGCTCAGCCTCCCTGTGGGTTCCTCTGCAAACAAGCTCACAGGCCTTCAGGCGAATCAGTAGGTTTCTGTTGACTCAGCGTGTGAGAGGGAGAACAAATAAACAGAAAGAGTGTTTGGATGCTGTCACACTGGCAGCGCACGGTGAGGAGGCAGCAGTCCAGAGTGATCAGGAAGCACTGGGCTGTGTAATTTTGCACCGTGTTTGTGTGCACACTTGTAGATGGCGAGTGGACAGCTGTCGAGGGCGGAGGCGTTGGCATGCTCAGGCTGCAGGCATGCATGCCATGTGATGCTCTACTGTGACACGAGTACTCAGCTGTTTGGGAGAATTCCCATCAGACACATCATTCTGGTGAGCGTGCATGCTTTTAAACGCGTGTGCGCTGAACTGAAATGATTGCACCTTCCCATTTCTGCTTGTTGGAGTAAAAACACATATTTCTGTGTGTGTGTTTGTGTTTGTGTATAACAGAATGTGTCACTTCCCACAGATGCAGATGCGCTTTGACGGTCTGCTGGGTTTCCCTGGCGGGTGAGTCTTTCCTGGTGCTGCTTCTGTTTCATGTGCACAGGTACACTTACCTTCGGTTTGCTTCCTTTTTCTTCACAGACGAGCCCCGTCAAACGCTACAAAGCCTTACTGCACGGAACAAACATTCACACAACATCAAACTGCAAGGGTGCACATTCAAAGATAAGAAAATGTGCATGACAGGTTCCTCTGCACGGCGCCTTATCTCGTCTTTAAATCCCTTTTTTGTCAGACACACACACTGCTTAATTAGTATTCGACTAAATGTGAATCACTTGTGCCTTTGTATCTGTGATTTGCAGAAGTCGCTGCCAGGATTTCTGGTGCATCGTTTGCCAACACAGTGAAATTATGTAACGAGGCAAGAAGGCGAGTCTGAAAAATCACAATGACATATGCAAAACAAAGGAAAATTGCATTAAGAAATGGGAACAGCGGTCAGAACCTACAGAGCACATCAACATGGGTGTTTTTCACTGCAGATGGCTCAAGCAATGAAACCGATTCAAGCTCTTTGTGTCGACGTGTGCGACCGATTTGAAAGTGGATGCACACAGTTTTATTCATTCTGCAGCAGGTTCAGGTCGATTAGCTGCAGACTGATGCCTCATACAGAACACAGAACAACAATGTCTCTGAAAGATGCTGTGACTTTGCACTTTGGTAGCAGCTACTTCCAGACTGTGTCAGTGTGATTATTCCTGAGGTTCGCTGAGCACAGTGGGTGGACGCAGCGCAGCCTTTCTGGAGAAACCAGGACTTCCTGCTGTGTTTGGGCACCGTTGATGGAAAGGACGAACAGATCAAAGCACCTCCAAAGTGCTGCAGCGGCAGCTACATCAGTTACAACTCCTTTAACGATGAATTATGAAGGTGTGGATGAGTGAAAAGCTCCTTGAACACTGTCTCCTTTGCAGTGTTGTCCACATGAGCCCTTGCAGACTCACATCGTGCACACCTTCGTAGACCATTGTGGAAAGCATTAATAAGCTTTTCATCGTGACAGTGGTTCCACCAGTGGTAGAGACCAAAACATTTCATAAACTACTGTTTGAACAGCAGTCGATTTTGTACAATTTGTATGTTCGTGCCACCCAGAGGATGAATCACAGTGCCTTTGGTGATTTTAGCTTTTCTCCACAAACTTTGAGCAAAATTTCCCCAAACTGTTGATTAAATTGCTGTGAGATTTGACTCAGCCGTTCATGTTCCACGTAGAACAGACATTCAGTGTTTTGGAGGATGAATGCCACTGACCTTGGTGACTTTTTAAACCGTAAAGTTTTGGTTTTGGCTTAGACTGCGGCTAACATAGCAAAAGCCCAAAAAGATCCCAAAATGGCCAGTGCTCTAAGAACAACTTCAGAACGGACTTGACGCTGCACCTCCTCTGATGTCCAGTAATACACCCACAAAGTGTGACGTAGTTCAGACGTACAGTTATCAAGATATGCCAAAAACAGACAAACACACGGATCCCATCATTTATCAGTGAGATATCTAAACAAGTGTCGGACTGATTAACAGTTTGGACGTCCGTGTTGGGACGACTTTGATGATCTTTAATGTAATGCTGTCATCAGGTCAGAATTCAGTTTAATTTCCTTAATATTCTAGTTTACCGCCACATGCTGGCCAAACTCATGACATACTGGCTTGTTTTAATGAGCACAATATTAGCATGCTGTCATGGTAAACCAAGATTATGATCGCGATAAACATAAATGCTAAATATCAACCTGTTAGCATTGTGACTATTAGCATGTTAGCATACTGACATGAGCATTTAGCTCAAATTGCCTGAGTGCAGCCTGTAAAAGCTGCTAGCTCTTAGTGTCGTTACTCTGCCATCTTTTAACTTTTTTTATTTTTTCCATATATGCACCACATGTCTGAAAATAGTGAGCTGACTGATTGGAAGGTTGAGCTAACGCCGTGTAGCACAGCATCACCGCTAGTAGTGTGGGATTGGAGCACCGTGCAAAAGTGGCTAAATTACACTTAACAGCTGATTTGCAATATTAAAAAGTGTTATTCAGAAACAAAACTGAAGCACAAAAACAGATGCACTAAAAGCAGTTCGTTCCACACACTGGTGTTGGCTGCAGGACTGCTGTGTCCTCAGTTGTACGTCCAGATGTTTGCTTCTGGAATCACAGGCCTTAAAACACTCCGTCCACACAGCATCTCGAGCTGCTTGCTGAGACACAACAGAAGTGAAAGCAGCCATTTCAGTTCATTACGTAGCTCCGAGTGGCCTTTTCTCTGTGTTCCAGTGACATTTGGCGGGTTAACCACACCTCCCCAGAGCCGCTGCTGGCTGTCGGCGTTCTGCTGATGCCAAAGTCGTCTCCTTTGTGCCTAAATCATCCGGTTCCGGTAAAACACTGCTGCCACGGCGGCGCTCTGTGGCCGCAGTGAAACTGCTTCAAACATGTTCTGTAAGTTGCATAATGAAAGCAAATGGTCAGAAGTGGAATTAAAACAAATCCTGAATCCCGTGATGTTGCCTAGCAACAGGGATGACAGACTCTGCCCACTGGCAGCCAAAGACCCGCTGAGGACCCCGCGAAGATCCCAAAAAATGGCTTCAGACTCTGAAGCGGCGCACCTGCCAAGTTTGAAGTAGATCAAATGTTTGGTACTTGAGAAAACAAAGAACAGACGGACAGAGATCCAACATCCATGAGTCTGCATCGGTTTTATCGTGCTGAACCTTTAGAGCCTGAATGGAAAAGATGGACGGAGCAGCCGTGACTTCATCCACTGATTTATCTGAGTACCACCGTGAAGCCTTTGTTTGAATCTTTGCTCATCAGTTCTGGCTTTTTGAAACTGGACACAACAAGCAACAGAGAACTCAATTAGGGCTGCAACTGACGATTATGTAGATAATCGATTCATCTGTCGACTAATTTTATGATTATTCTTTTCTTTTTTTAAACAAACACTTTTGTTTAGCCTTTATTTACTCAGGTGAGTTATTAGGAACATATTTTCATGAAAACAGGAGAATTGTGCAGTTTTTTTTTTTTTCACTAGTTTCTGTAAAACAGCTCAAATCAGAAGGAACACAATGAGCTTTATATCTACCTCATCAGTGTAAAGATTTTTCAGTTCAAAGCATCAAACACAAAAAAAATGAGGTAAAACACTCAAACTGTTTTTGCAAAGTTTGCAGGTCACTTGTCTTTTTTGGTGTGAAGTGCTCCCACACGTTGGATGACTTTGTTCGTGAACGTTTCTCTCCTGATTTATCTCGTTTCTCATTTTTCTTCGAACTTTCCAGCCGTCCTGCTAGTTATTGGCTGTCGGCTGCTTCTCCTGCTGTCCTGGTGGCTCATTACTGCCACACTCTGGTAGCTGCTGGAACAGATTGGTTTAAAAGTGGAAAAAAAGTCCCGCTTCCAATAAAAAACATGTTATTAAGCAACTAATCGATGACTAAATTATTTGATAACTATTTTAATAAGCGATTGTTTCAGCCCTAAACTCAGTGCATCATGATACAGCAGAAACCTGTCAATCACAAGCTAAAACATACTCGCTTTGTCGTCTACTTTGCTCTAAATGGCACCAAAAGTTCCAAAATCAACATCGTAATGTATTAAAAATGTTTTAAAAGCAGCGACCCCACTTAGCGAGTCCATAAACATTTACTGAGATAACTAATTAAGTGTGAAACAGACTCATTTTTTCATAGATCAGGCTTCTTTCTGCAACCAGTGGAGTCGCCCCCTGCTGGCGGTCGGACAGAACGCAGGTTTGTCGGTGTTGCCCTGCAGGCTGCGTCCATGTTTTATATGCGGTGACCTGTGACTTCCTTCAGTGCCGCCTCAGCAAACTAGTTTTAAAATTCAATGAGCGTTTCAATCGGTTTGATTTACTCTCATGCGCCATCAGCGCTACCAGGAGAGCCGTACGGCCGACGTTATTTATCCGCCTTCGTAACTGACGCTGACCTCTGACCTCCTCCTTCAGGCTCGTAAACCCGTCGGAGGAGACGCTGGAGGCCGGGCTCAGCAGGGAGCTGTCGGAGGAGGTGGGTGTAGCTTTACCTATAAATGTCGAGGATCACGTGGAGTCCTGCTACGCTCCTGCTACCTCGTCCTCCTCCTCCGCCTCCTCCTCCCGCCGCCTCATCACCCACTTCTACGTGAAGAAGATGGAGGAGGAGCAGATTAGGGAGGTGGAGAGAGCGGCTGCATCCACTGCGACGGATCACGGGCAGGAGGTAACGCGTCCGTCCAGAGTGACTGATTGCAGCCATTTGCCAGATCTCATGCTCCGCTCCTCCTCGTTTGTCTTCTCAGGTTCTGGGGATGGTCCGGGTGCCGCTCTACGCCATGAAAGGCGGCGGAGGCCTGGCGTCCTTCCTGTCGCACTCGTTCATCGGCAACGCCCGCTCGCAGCTCGTCGACTCTCTGTCGCGCCTCGGCCTGGTTTCCCCGGCGGAGCTGCAGCGAGCGCTCGACAAGTCTCTGGAGACGCATGCAAACGCTGCAGAGCACCTGAGAGCCGAGGCGCAAAGGAAACGCTTTTGAAACTCACCTGCGTCGGAAACATCCTGTCAAACACTTGCATGATTTGACCCTCAGAGCAACTCAAACCTTCACACACTTAATCCTGCACACACACACACACACACACACACACACACACACACTCTGTCATGCTGATTCTGAGCCGGTGACTCATAATTGCAACCTGTGCATCAAACACTCGGTGGGGAGGGGAAACATTATCATCTCTGTTAATGGAAATAAAGTTGCTGTCCAACAGCTTCTCGGCCCTTTGAATCATCAGCGTGTTGTTGATTTGAGCTGAAACTGAACGAGAAGTGCAATTGTTCTGTGAGCAACACTCCTTCACAAAACCTTTTGTTTGTTATTGTTACGACGCAGATGACATTTTAATTCATCCAAGAGGATATTTCACATGAAAAACAATGAAAAACCAACAGGTGGGAGTTACTGTACGGCAAATAAAGATCATGAAGAGGTGTTTCGTTAGAGTCAACCTCCGATCGGCGTCTCCCCTCTTTAGAAGCTCCTCCGCTGTGGATCTTTGTCATGCTGGAATTTTCCTCTTCTGCCAAGTTTCTGCAGACTGGGACTCATCTTGTCAGCCAGTATTTTGTCATAATCACCCATTAAAATCATGACTTTCTGCCCTCATGCAGCCACATATCATGATGCTGCCACCTCCGTGCTTCACTGTCAGGACCATGCATCCACTGTGGAGGTCCTGGTCAGGTTCACACCAAACATCCATCTGAGGAGAACTCATTTATGATGGTTTAATGTGACCAAACTATGTGCTCCAAATATTCATCAGGCTTCTTTTCATTATTTCATAACCTTGTAGTTTTTCCTGCATGGACACGATCTGAGCTGTCACAAAACCTCAGATTTTCATTGATAACCAATAAGTCTGATGCTCTTACAGGTTTGTTTTTCAGAGCTGGAATATACAAATAGCGCACTTTCTGAAGCCCTGATTAGTGGTACTGTGGCTCCTTCTATATCTCCTGATTACTGCTGCACCTGCACGAGGCGTCAGAAAAGTTCCAGGACTGGTGAGACAGATGATAGATTTCAAATCCGAGCTACAAACTACACGTTTTACCCTTTGAAGTAACTGGAGTCTAACCCACCTCCTCAGCCTTCTCTGCCTTCACACCGCCATGCACTCCTGGAAGGATCCTCCACAGCTCCGTCGTCACAGCCATCTTGATGTCGTCTACGTCTTCTAAACAGGTCTCCTTGATGACCCCCTTGAGCTTGGGGAAGAGGAAACAACCCCACGGAGCCAGGTGGGGTGAGTAGGGAGGTTGCTCCAGCACGGAGACGTTCTTCTCAGCCAGGACCTGTGGGATGCTCGGGGCGTTGTCATGGTGAAGCAGCCACCACTTGTCTTGCCACAACTCTCATCTCTTTAACGAAGCAAACGGATCTCTTTGTAGACGAGCTGGTTGATCATCTGAACTCCTAGTTTGTGGTTTGAAGTAGATCTTTTGTGACAACAGTCCTGGAACTTTTCTGACACACCTCGTATTTTCACAGATTTGTTTTTTGTCGATCACCAGCCTTCATGTATGTTCCAGAACCTCTGACAGGTGGAGCCATGATGTGGACATGCAGATATGGAAATGTGTTCTTTGTTTAGTGTCAGTAACCAGCAGGTTTTCTAACCTGTGTATTTCCAGTCTAGAGTATTTATTTTTGGTTGTTTATAAGAGGAATTGCTCACCTGTTGAGGGGTGTTTGACATTTAGGTGATGTTGCACAGGACTGAGCTGCATCCAGGCTGCTTTCTATGGTGCTGCATAGGCACCCTGTGGTTTTCTATACCGACCGAGATCAAAGGGGCACCACAAAGATACTGGGTTTGTTTTTCCTTCCAGTCAGGTAGAATTCTTTGTCTGTCTTTGTGCTGTTTTTTCTTTTTTTTTTTTGCGATTTAATTTGTAAAGTTAGAGCGAGGCAGCAGCGGTGGCGGTGCCATCCAAGGATTAATTACGTCCGTGACATGCTATATAGCCTGCAGGCGTAGATTTGATTCTGTTTAAGTGTACCCTCGGCGCACATAAGGCGCCTGCACCAGATGTTAGTAACCTCATTCCGAGACAATATCGCTGGCAGTGAGCGAGAGCAGAGGCTGGATGCTGCCTAATGTTGGTACTGTACTGAAAAGTGCACGATCCATCCGCTATTGCAGACGATTCAGGATTCTCAACGCCTTGCATGTTCCAGTGTACAGTGCAGGCTGCAGCAGGTCTCCCCACAGCCGCCGTAAATCAACTTCACATCAGATGCACATAAAAGGTGGACGAGTGAGAGAAACGTTGCGCTCAGCTTTGCATCGTGATAGATTTCACTGAGACTTTTATAAGACTACATGCGTCTCTGAGCAGGTGTTAATGGTGCCATTTGTGAAGTAGTTCACTGAGATCTGCCGTCGATCACATGAGAGAAAAAAACCACATCCGGCGCAACAGACAGGAAACCCAGGAGACGTGTAGAAACAACTGTTGTTTGTGGTCGTGTTTTATACGATTCTGTGGGTCTTTTTGTGTGTGTGTGTGTGTGTGTGTGTGTGTGTGTGTGCATGCCTCCTTTCTTTTTTTTTTTAAAGCGCTGCATCCTGCAACGAGCAGCTACGAAGAGAAAAGCTTGTCATGTGATGTAAGGGGCGAATAATACAAGGTCATCAGAAAAACATTTAGCGGGAGGGGAGGGCAGGGATGGATGGATGGATGGAGCGAGGGATGCTGAGGGGAGAAAGACGGTATATTCATAGCAGCAGCGGTATTTATAGCCGCCCAGAGGAGAGGAGAGAGCTGGTGGGGGAGGAGGCGTGGCTTAGGGTTGTGGCTTTAGCGTGGTGAGAGGCAGAGAGGGAGGGAACAGGGGGAGGAGAGAGGCATCTCTGAGCAGAGAGAGAGAGAGAGAGAGAGAGGGGAGGCTATTTGGCATATTTGGCAGGAGAAGGAAAGAAAGGGAGGCGTGAGGAGGGAGGGAGGGAGAGAGGGAGGGCTGTTTTTGAGTGTGTGTGTCCCTGAGAAATGAGAGTGAGGGAGGGAGGGAGGGGAGGAGGGAGGAGGAGAGTACTGAGCTGAGAGAGAAATCTGTCAGATTCAAACACACTGTTCAAGAGAAGCGAGGGATGAGAGAGGAGAGGCCGAGGAGCAGATAGGAAGAAGAGCAGCACAAAGTGAGGTAGGGTCGGCTGTCATGCAGCCCGGCAGCATGTGAGCGTGTTGCAGGAGTGAACCGCTGTGTTTATATATAGTTTAGTGGTTTTAAATGGGCACTGTGTTCACTTGGGGCTTTTTTTTTTTCTAAGTGGACAAATGGAGCTACTGGCTGTTAAGGGGGGGTATCAATTATGTAATACGTGTGCACCATTTTCAGTGTGTGTGTGTGTTTACAAGCTTGTGTAATTATGCTGAGGTGTTTATGTGGCCATTGTGTGGAGCCCCTGCCACACTGCCTTGACCATATGGGCTGATTTACAGCCATTGTAAATAGAAGCCAGCACTCCAGCGCCGCTCCGAGCCGTGGAACCTTAATTCCCCTCCAGCAGCAGCTCGTCACCCACTGACAGATACGTTATGTTGTTGTTGGAGGGGATGCAGATGAGCACAAACAAGCTTCTCAGAGGCATCTGCAAAGTAGCATTCCCTTTGTGCGCTTGGTTTTTACTGTGCAACAACACAGATTGTGGTGATGGTGATGTGACAGAGCAGCACGAGCAAAGAAACTGCAACCTTAGAGGCTCGTGGAGCAGCTGCACACATATATTTATATATATACACAGATATATATATAGTTGGGAGTTTAGTGAATCCATAGAGGAAGCTCCATATTCATGCTCCACTTGCAATTTGCCGTCTATTGTGGATGCACATCGGTTTAAACCGCAGCAGTGCAGCTGACAGGTTTAAAAAAGAAGGAAAAAACAAGGACCTCGTCTAAGATTTAAATCCCTGACCTCAAGCAGCAACATGCCATGAAGGGTGAGAGCTACCATTTTGCCTCCACTGCATCAAAACAACCAACACAGACTCTCGGATTGTGCAAAAAAACACAAAGAACGCTCATTAGTTTGTGTATTTCCTGCACACTTGCTGCACTCGCACATGCACAACTGGATGCTAACGTTGAACAAACGCCTCGTTTTCCCTCCAAATTTAGAAACTATATTCGTTTACGATGAAGCATTTGCAGAATTTGGTGCAGAATCATTTCAGAATAATACATAATGTGTTTAATTTTGCACGCTTTACATTAATATAAGTGTGTATAAGTCGTGCAAGATGGCCCAACTTTTAACGACTTTGCTTCTATCTGAGCCCAAATTAGCCAAAGCTGTCAGATGCATGTAGTGGAGTGAAGCAAGGAATGTAAAGTGGCATAAAATAGAACGATTTCAGAACAGAACCCTAAACCTGCACCAAAGGACAGGATTTGTGTGAATGTTCTCAGTCACAGAGTTTCGTGAGATCAGCTCAGTTCACTAGACGTGATGTTCAGTAGAACCAAACCTAAACTGACCATTAATTAGTTCTGTCACAGAAATTTCCAGCAGTGGGGTTTAGATGCAGCCGGCCTGTCGGACTCTCCTCCCATCACACTGCCCACACTGTTTTATTCCACCTTTTTTTTTTTTTTCTGCCCTCCGCCGGGACCTACAGGTATGCGATCCACAAACATTACCTGTAAACGATCTTAAAAGTCAGCCTTGGCAGGGCGGCAGTGGAAATCTTTCTGCTGCCCCCTCTGGCTTTGACTCTGAAGCCCCGTCTGATGCAAAAACTGCTCTCAGTGCTTTTGCAATTAGGTGGCGAGCCAAAATCTAAAAGGCACCTTAGGCGTGTTTTATAGTTACCGTGCTGCAGCCAAGGACTAATAATTTACACCTTTTTTCTGCAAATGCACATCCTTTACCTCGATGTCTGGGACCCGAATCAGTGATGCATTGTGCCACCTTGAAACCAAACCGTCCCCGAGGTGTGTGTGTGTGTGTGTGTGTGCTCTGGCAGCCGGGATTAAACATCTGCTGAAAACTTTTGGTGAGATTTGCAGGTACACAGTAATTCTCCGCAGATGGCGAAAAAGCAGAAACCGGCGGTGGCACGCTACGACACGGTTTCCTGTTTGCTGTGGCAGCTGCAGCGGTTCAGGGGGGATATTTACAAGAGTGTAGAGAATCTCTGGCAACGGGGCGAACTTCGTCAGCGATATGATGAATTTAGATTTTGGCTACTTTGCATAGTTAATCTCGCGTCGCCCCAAATCTCATGACACGTTTGAAATGAGACCTGGGAGCATTTGGAGCGTTTGGAGCCTGCGCGAGGCTCTACCTGTTGTGGCTCAGTGTGAGCTGCAGTCTAGCAGCCAGTCGACCTCCAAGTAGCTCCAGTGTGAGAAAGTGCAGCCTTGGAATCTGATTTCTGTGTAGATTTCATCCCTAAATATAAATTATATATAATAACAGGTTTCCTCCCTCCACAGTAAAGTCTGTTTTGCAGCTACAGCCTTCATTGTTCTGGTTTAGTAACTTAAAGCGGTTCGTTTTTGCACGCTTTACGTGGATTTTGACTTCTTCTCTTCTTGTTCTACTGCTACGAATGTAATTTTTATTCTAAAAAACATTCTGAAAAAGTTCTGCAGAGTTCTAGTAATGTTTTCAGTTGGAAGTTTTCTTTTAGTTCCCAGAATGTTCTTCTTAACAGCAGGATGAAGTTCCCTGAAGAAGCTCTAAACACGACATTTTCTGCACGTTGCATTAAGAACATCCGTGTCCTTTTACCCTAGCACGCAACGTTAGCTAATGTCGTGGGAACGTTCCCTGCTTGCTGGGTCACTGTTTCGCTCAGTTAGAATTTTGTTGCTCTAAAAACGTTCTGGGAAAGTTCTGCAAAGTTCTACTGATGCTTTCGGCTGAAAGTTTTATTTTAGTTCCCAGAATGTAAGTTGAAAGTTCTCTAAAGACGCTCTGAGAATGTTGTTAAAACATTATCCAGATGTTGCGTTGAGAACGTTCTTCCTTTGTTATCATGGAACATTGTGGGAATGTTTTATAGAACAACGTCTCAACGGCAACATCCCCAAAACGCGACGCTCCACCTTAGTCAACATATCAAATTACAGGAACATTTTATAAAAACATGTTCTGTCGGGGCGCTCAACTGGATACGACGTGGTCCCATGAACAGGCGGCGGTCATGTTCTTCTTTTGTTATCCTTGAACATAGTCTGACAACATCCTCCAAACATCTTCTGAATGTTAAAACGTTCTGTCTTGGTTCCCTTTTAACCTCAAAGGAACATTATTTGAAATTCTAAATAACCCCAAAACATTCTTTGCGCGTTAGATTAAACTGTTTTCTTACAAACATCATTAGAACTTGTAGGTAATGTTAGCCAATGTTGTGGGAACGTTCCTTGATTACTTCGATAGATGTTAATTGTACTATTCATTGTGCCGCTGATCCTGTTGTTGCTTAGCAACATGGGTGGCCAAGGCTCCGCCCACAGGCAGACAGAAGCCAGGTTGAGGACTCCAAAAACATTCCCAAAAAACAGGCACCGCTCGTCCAAACTACCTCAAACTTGACACTGCACTTCTTTAGGTTCTTGCCGATACTTTTGCCAAGTTTGAAGCAGATCAGTTGAATAGTTTTTGAAATATGTAAAGAACAGACAGCCACACACACACTCGCGGATTCCGTCATTTGTTAGTGCGATGCAGCTTTATTTCAATTTAATGCAGTTTTTTTTCATTTATAAATGTGTGGCCTCCAAATCCGGGTAGACAAAAACATAATTCCCCAAAAGACAGCATTATTAGAAAATCGAGATAGTGGTCCTTTAATTAATTATTAAGCTGTAAGGGACCAGAGACGTTTATCTAAAAATACGGGTTAAAAAAACACATGTAAGCGACATGTTTCTACAGCACAGGGCCCGTCTGATCACTGGAGCTTTCATTTTATTTTATTACACTTCCATTATATTAATATTATATGATCATAATCAGATACCATACGGCCTCGGGCACATACATTTCACCCAACTGTTGTTTATCTACTGGATCCTCCTGCAGCATATTTTCTATCTGTGAGAGCCTCTCCAGTCGGTCTGTCAGCGACAAGTGTCACACCTGACTCTACCTGACTCTACCTGACTCGCGTTCATGTGCAGCTGCAGCTTCTTTGACAGCAAAGATTAACACGAGCTCACGTCTGACACCTCCCTGCTCTTTTTTTTTAACATTTTGCCGCTCATCTCAGACACCTGCGCCCGCCGTTACTGCATCGGCGGAAACCCGATATTTCCCAAAAGTCAGCTTTTCAGGAAGTTAGATCATCTGGCTCAAGGGTCCCACCGACACCCATGTGTTTCCTTCCCCGATTTTCGCGCTGCCTTAGCAACAGTTTGGCTTTGGCCGATTATTTTCGTGCAGCTGCAGACAGACGCCACAGCTGTAAGAACTGAAAAATTTAGTTTTTTTTTTTTTGCAAAGTCCTGCGCAGTAACAGGGTCAACGTCGCTGCTGGCTGTCAGGAAATCCCCATTCAGTATCAGCCATAACATCTGACACAATATCCCACTTGTGTTGCTTCTGCTTAGTGTTCCACTTTTCTTTTTTTTTTTGCTTCAAAGAAATGAGCAGAAAATCCCCTCGGTGGCAATAAGGATCTATCACACTCCGCCACATGTACCGTCTCTTGTCTGGAATCTGCTTTGTATTCACCACATGCGCCACATGACCTCCTTCTTTCATTGACCTTGACTTTAAGTCTGAAACGCCCAATAACCTCCGTCTTTCTGCCCTTTTTTTTTTTTTTGCCGAATCTCTCCCTCCCTTCGCCGTCGTTTCCATTGGCTTTGTTCCGTGCAGATTAAGGTCGCGCGCTGATGAAGGCCTCCGGAGCCTCTCGCTGGTCCCTTATTTGCAGGAAATCGCTTTTACTCGCTTTGCTTCCACATTCGCTCTCTAAATGTGTCTGGATCGCATTCACCGTGCCGTCGTGGAAGAGGAAACGAAACGCCGCAGAGCTTCGGTCCTGCTGACATGTCGGGCCATTTGCGGTGCTTATTTTCTACGCAGCGTTTCGACTCACCTGCGTCGACTGTAATAAGTTTTTTTTTGCAGGAGGCCACGTCGCTGCGTTTTTCTGCTCACATTTCGCTTCAGTTGTGAGTTTTAA